TGGATTACTTTTAAAGTGCTTAGGTCCTGATCAGTCAAGAGTAGCTATGGGTGAAGTACATGAAGGGCTATGCGGAACACATCAGTCGGCTCATAAGATGCAATGGTTATTGAAAAGAGCAGATTTTTATTGGCCGGCGATGTTAGGGGATTGTTTTCGCTATTATAAAGGGTGTGAAGAATGCTAGAAATTTGGAAATGTTCAATTGGCACCTGCAGCTATGATGCATCCCATTATTAAGCCATGGCCGTTTAGAGGATGGGATTTAGATTTTATTGGTCAAATATATCCTGCTTCATCTAAAGGTCATCGCTTCGTCCTAGTAGCTACAGATTATTTTACCAAATGGACTGAAGCAATTCCTTTAAGAAATATGACCCATAAGGACGTGATTAATTTTGTTTTGGAGCATATTATTCACAGATTCGGTATTCCTCAAACTTTGACTACTGATCAAGGTTCTTCTTTTATGTCTCATAAATTTCATGAGTTTGCCGAATCTTTTAGAATTAAATTGTTAAATCGTCGCCTTATTATGCTCAAGCTAATGGACAGGCCGAATCTAGCAATAAAACTTTAATTAAACTTATAAAGAAGAAAATTAAGGAGCATCCAAGAAAGTGGCATGAAGTGCTTTCGGAGGCTTTATGGGCTCATCGGATATCTAAGCATGGAGCAACTCAAGTGACACCATATGAGTTAGTGCATGGACAGGAAGCAGTGTTACCTGTAGAGGTTAATTTGCAAGCTCTTAGAGTAGCCACACAAAATGATTTGTCAGCTATAGACTATAATAATTTGATGCTGGATAGAATTGATGATGTTCCAGAAGAAAGATTAAGAGCCTTGCAGGAAATTGAAAAAGAAAAGTTAAGAGTAGCTAAGGCTTATAACAAAAGGGTGAGGGAAAATCGTTTCAAATAGGAGACTTGGTGTGGAAAACGATTTTGCCTGTTGGAACTAGGAACAATAAATTCGGCAAGTGGTCACCGAGTTGGGAAGGTCCGTATAAGGTTGTAGAGATTGTTCCTGGAAATTCATATTTTGTACAATCTTTGCAAGGGGAAAAGTTGCCCAAAGTTCCCAATGGCAAATATTTGAAGAAGTACTATCCTAGCATGTGGCAAGAAGCTTGATGGCACTATATGGCCGATATGATTTCAGATATCACCCTAAACAAAATTTGGCCGATGTGTTATTTAGATATCGCCCTAAGCAGTTGATATGGCTGGTGAAGCGGTTGACATCGTCCTAAGACATTGCCATGGTGTTTTTGGTAAATAAAATTACACCCAAAAACAGAGGGCATGTGTTGATAGTCTAATTTGGATCTGGCTTGAGGGGTTGCCCAGATTATTTAGTTTTGGTGGTTAAGCTAATGGTTTGAGAATTCACACATGATTGCAAGTACAGAGGCTAGGTGCAGCAGGCTGGATGGAACAGAATTGTGTGTTAGAGCTCACACATGAAAAGAAAGAAGGAAAGAGGCCTGGTTTGGAAAACTGAAGATGGAAAAGATTTTGCATAATCAGCTATTCTGCCAAAACGGAGCTAATATGGAAAGTTTACTAGTATTGGGCCCAGGCTGATGCTTCTACAGAAAGATTAGGAAAAGCCTTTTGGCTTATGTGCCAAGGAAACAGCACGTCAGGAGTCCTACTCCAATTTGCCAAAGGCCAGGCATACCCTTATATATGTGGGTATATGGCCGATTGAAAAATCAATCAATCCTTTCACAACCTTACGTTACTTTTTCTCCTACGCTCTTTACTTTCCAGCACCTAGCTCGTAGCTTCTGCCCAGCCCTAGCAAACCTAGGGTTTGGCTCATCTTTGCCGTTTTGCATTGAAAAACGGTCGGTTTACCTCCACGAAAGCGAGGAATCAGTGCTGTTGCGCGGATCAATTTCCCGTAGCAACAGCTAGTTTGCGGGGAAAGGCTATGCGGGTACATCGATGTAGGCACAGTTGCGACCATCATGGCTCTCGCTGATCAGCACCACTGTGTTGGGCTGAAGAAGGCATGCTTTGATTTCCTCAGCTCCCCTGCAAACTGGAGGGCAGTTGTGGCCACTGAAAGCTTCCAGCGTGTGTATATCAGCTGTCCTTCTGTTGTGATGAAGCTGATTGGCATGCCCTCGACAGAGTGATGCCCAGTATTTTGGCAATGCTAATAGTTCATGGTTTCTAGATCTTTAACAGTATAAGAGCTCCAGGGAAATTGGGGCGGTGACACTGAAGAAAAACGCGTCCGCCCCAGATTCGCTCCCGCGGGTGACTCCGGGCGGCTTCCCTAGCGCCGCCGCCCCAGCCCCTCACCTCGGCCTCTCCTCCCTCGCCGCCACCGGCGACGTCACCGGCCAAAGGCCGCGTGGCGCAGGCGGCGGCGGGGCGTCTCCTCCCGCGCGCAGGTGGCCGGCGTCGCGGGGCGCCCCCTCCTGCCCGTCGGCGTCGGGCGGCGGCTCTCCTCTACTCCGTCTCCCCTCCCCCTCTCCGGCGTCGTGGTGGCCCGCAGGCGTGCCCCCCTCTCCTCCCTCCCCCCTCCAGCGCGGCTTGTGGGGATCCGAGGAGGCAGGTTGCTCTGGCGGCGGATCTGGGTGGCTCTGCCCAGATCTGGTTGGTGTTGGTGGTTGGTGGCGGCGGGGACGGCCGGCGGCCCTGCTAAGGTGGTGGTGGTGCTGCTGGCGGCTGTGCTTCTCCGGTGGGATGGTGGAGCCTCCGGTGGTGTTGGCCAGGGCATGGATGCGAGGATGTGGGCTGCCACGGCGTGGTGGTGGCTCATGGCGGTGGTCTAGATCGTGTCACGGCGGCTGCTGGTCATCTCTGAGAGCAGCGTCGGCCGTCGGTGAGCGGCCTTTTTCGACCTTCGATCCCTCCCCTCGTCGTCCGGGCTCTACCCTCGTCATAGGGCTGGACCGCTCCCAGTTGCGGTCCATTGCTCGTCTCGCGCCCGTGGCTGCGAGACAGAGCTCGTCTCGCGCCCGGCAGCAGGACCGAGTTCGTCTCGCGCCCGGCAGCAGGACCGTGCTTGTCTCGCGCCCGGCAGCAAGACCGACCTCATCTCGCGCCTGGCAGCGGGACTGAGCTTGTCTTGCACCCGGTGCAGCAGGACGGGTGATGGAGGCCTTTTTTTGGGCCGACCCTTTGGGTCTCGGCGCCGGGGGCCGTCCAGGGGTGTGTAAAGGAGCGACCTTTCCACTCGTCTCTTTGGTTGGGGTAGCGACGGATCTCGGGTGCGATGGTGTCAAGGTCTTGGATGCCGGGGCGGTGGCCCTGGTGGTGGTAGCGCGGTGCTCAGGCGGCGGCGTAGCGCGTTACCTTCTTGAAGGCGTCGTCGCGGCTCTCACCGGTCATCGTGTCGCTCTAGAGAAAACTCTGACCCCCGGGTCAGGCGGTGGAGGCGCGCTAACGTCGTAACCTTCTTGGAGGCGCCGCCTTGGAGCTCTCGGTTCGTCATATGCGGCTTCATCTCTTCGCGGTGGCGTGTTCCCGGTGGAGATCCCTGATTGCTCTTGTAGTGTTAGGGGTGGTGTTGCTGCGCACAGCGCCTATGTATCCCGCCTTGGGTGTGTGCGTGTGTTGTCGTGGGGTGTGTTTGTACTTGGGTTGTGGTTGATCTGTGCTTTATATATAAAGCGGGGCGAAAGCCTTTTTGGGTAACATTAGATATTTTAGTTGCAATGGGTACTTGCCTGGTTTCCAGACTTTGTGACAGTATCAGGTGGTTCTGTTGTTTTACGAATGCCTATGTGCTTGCTTTATGAGGAGGAGATGCAAAGTGGCATCACTTTGTTTATTTATTTTGCCTTGGTAGTCCATTGCATTTCTCCAGGCTTACCTGGCAATTGGCTCTGGTTATTTTGTTTCCTTAGAATGCTTTGGGTTAGCAAAGCAAGGCGCCCCTGCTCTTTAATTCCTTATTAGGAGATGTCAAAATAGTTTCATCTATGTTTTGATGTTTGTTAACTGGATCAATACTACTCTGTTATTTCTCTGCCAAAGAAAGATATAGTTTCCGCTTAATTATGGACAATACTTAGAGGCTTTCCATGTTGTAATCCTCACTGTATCTGATTGGAAGGAACCGGGAGTTCGGGATGCAACGCGTTTTGGGCTTGAAAACAAGAAAGAGACACCTTGGTGACTATATAGTTCTTGGCTTATTTTCTCTGTCAGTGGCCATCCTCTAGATAGTCTCTCAGGCTCACGCTTATATATACAGGTAAAGAAAACTGTCGCTGGAACCAAGACTTGACAATCGCAATGCTTAGGTTTATGATGGGAAAATGCATGCCTTGACTGATCAAAACCTTTGGTGATCACATTTCACTGAAGGAAAATGTCGTCTTCTTGGACAAACGGTTATAATCTCAGACAATATGCAAATAATTCAATTTGCATGTTTAGGAACTCACTGCACAATTTTGGAAAAAGATGAGAAAAATCTGTAAACTAACATCACAGTAAACAAAATCGAAAGATGCTCAAAAATAGATTTAGTCATACAGCATAGTCAGAATTCAAATAGGAGAATGGTCACACAGAGAGGGTCGTGTTATTCTCCTCCCCTCGAAAAATCCTCTTCCCCTAATGAAGTGAAGTAAAATGGAAGAATAATAAACGTACAAGAGATAGGCATCTCCAGTCTTTAACATGTGCATAAGAACAAGGCGATATCAATATTCAGAACTGATGGATAACAAGTTGTCCATAAAAGATAAATGTACTTGCAAGTTGCAACAAGAGATAAGCATCTCCAATCTTAAACGGAAAATAAAGAGGTGAAAATCCAACCAATTTCAAAAATAGATAATATACCCTCACAGTTACCCCATACCAAGAGCTAACAGGTGACCATAATGATTAGCACTAGAGGCAGCCGATATATCAAATACCTAGACTCATTCATACAACTAAGCATTAGCCACTGGAAGCTGTTGCTAGGTGTTGCATATTCTCCATGGCTGAATTCTATGAAGACAATATATAGTTCCACCAAGGTCAGTGACCATCTGACGGCCATTCCGCAAAACATGGAACATAAGGTATAGCACCATAGAATGTTTCGTGAGTGCCGATAACATGCACTTTCTTGCTGTCCATATCATATGAGATAGCCTTCCCCCTCTGGTCGGTAAGGAAAATCAAATCACAATCTGGATGAATTGCTAAGGGCTCCACATATTTGTAACGATCCCTTCCAAACAGTTCTGAAACGTTAACAGTATCCTTCAAGGCCCACTTTGCACCACCATAATCCTCAAGAGCCCAAACTAAAAGTTGGCAAACATCAACATTATCATTTATACACCAAGCATACAATCGTCCCTGAGACTGTCCAATGAACGGATAATCAGAGCTGTCTCGCATGTTGCCTGGAATATCAATTTGCCCCCAAACCTTCCCCTCTGTGTCTACTGTGACTATTGAATATTCAGTGGTCATCAAATGCAAAGTACCATTCAGGAAGACAGGAAGACCAATAGGAGTCTTATCAATCCAACCACTCTCCACCGTAGTCCATCGTCCAGTGTCTGATGAGTAGATTGTCACTTCTGTGAAATCCCAAGTGTGTGTGAATACCATGAAACGGGAGGGGACGGCTGGATCGAAACACAAATATTCTTCGTCTTCGTCTTGCAATTGTATAGGATTAGGAGGCAGCTCGGCCCACTTCTTGGTCGCAGGATTGCACACGACAAGATTGTACTCATCTTCCTCAAAACAATATGATTCCCAGTATTTGCAGAGAACAAGGCCACCGCAGCAATGCCTCCTTCGCCGTCACAGAACGTCAAAACACCAGCCACCACGCCGCCCACGCGGCCATGGACGCTAGTCGCCTGCACCTGAGCCACGAGCTCAGCCCACGAGCATCGCAGGAGCTCCCACCATTTGGGCCGCCGCCCAGGGAACAAGACGCCCCATGGGTCCTCCATGGCTGCCAACGATGTGCCGATTGGCAAACTCTGACCGCCGACAAAGCCGCCAGCGACCAGAACGACCAGATCGATCGAGGAGCCACCAAGTCGGAGAAGAGGTGAAGCGGGAGCGGACCACGTCGACGACCGGCACCCCTGCCGGTGATGGGTGGCCCGACCGCATTGGCGCCACCCACCACTCCCAACACCTCTCCCAAGCGTCACCCCCCCCATACACACACACACCCAACCTCGACTCCCGGCCTGGATCTGCATCATCTGGCAGGTTCCGGCCACACGCCCAGCGACGGGAGGTTCCCGAACGGCCACACCATGTCGCCACGAGAGGACCTAGGGACCTCCACAAGAGTAGCTCACCAACGGCCAGACGCCGGAGCATGTCCCGCAGCCGCCCGAACCGACCCGCCCCACCACCATGGACCGCCACCACGCCGTCGCAGCCCACACCCACGCAGTTGCCAACATGGCCGCTGCCAAGACCTCACACCGCACGCCGACGCCCAGAGGACAGATCCGAGCGGATCTGACCGAAGACCACGGAGGCGCCCGCCCCCGATCTCGAACCACCCGGTCCCCACTGGGCCCTGCGGGACACCAGCACAGCCGAACCACCAGCCATCCCACGGTGCCCTTGCAGCTCCGCCGCATCCACCCACCACCACCACACCGCCTCACTCCACCGTGACCTAGATCCGAGGGATGTGCCCCCGCGCCCTTGGGTGCCCGCACCACCCAATCAGCCACCAGGGCTTCGCCCGACAGCTTCCTCTAGCAGCGACAAAAGGGGTGGACAGGAGGTGTGGCGACCCTGTCGGCTAGGGATTTGGGGCTCCGCCCGAGTCGCCCGAGCGGGTTCCCTTTCTTGTCAAAGATTGGAACAAGAAACAGGCGGAGAACAAACCTCAGAAGCTACGGGAACAATGAGGGGAGGCGGCGGCATAGGATGGGACGGAGCGCCTTCGTCACGGCGACCGGTCGCCAATGAGTGGTCCTGCTCCGTGCAGCCATGCTCACCTCCTCCTGGCGGCATCAAATCCTTGGCTTGGGGATCAGTGCCTCGAACTCTAGGGTTTGGGAAGGGGAAAAGAGCGGCGGCTGTGTCGTCGTCTCCCATCTGCATGGGAAGGCTGGGCATCACGACTTATTTTCCCGACACAGTAGTCAACCCGTGCAGGTGCACGGGATGGCAAATTTAATTAACAAGCTCACAAAATATCTAAAATATTTCCGTAAAAAATAGGGCTACAAATAAGTACTCACTCGGTTTATTTTTTATTACTCACTCGGTACATTTTTGTGAAGTGTGTTAATTTGTCAAAAGTGAGACCTTTCTATATTTGATGAGTTTCTAGAAAAATATCATATCTACAACACAAAATCAGTATCGCTAGATCCATCATGAAATTTATTTTAATATTTCATTTAATTAATATTGTACATATTGGTAGTTTTTCTATAAACTGGCCAATGATAAGAAAAAAGTTTAACTTTTATAAAAAGGGACTGAGGGAGTAATAGAAATGTTGAAGAAAAGTTAGGCATATGTTTTAAAATAGTTATTTTTAAAGCGGATGAAATTCTTGCTTATAGAAATAAATTTAGGGAAAAATAAATTACTTTCCTCCAATTTGTTGTGAGTTAGATTGTATGACAGAACAAATGGAGGTCAAATAGAAGAGAAAGAATTACCATAGTTCTTTTCCCAGATTTCATTGTACTTATAACATACTCTTTTCAGTTGGCCGATAATGCTTCCACTTTTTCCAAAAAAGAGAAAGTTGAAAAAGCAGGAATTGATTACGACTGATAAGCAATGGGTATGATTGATTAGCATTACAGCTGCATGTTTCGAATCCAGGCCTTGGGCAACAATTTGGTCCATTGCAATTCCTGAAAAACGACACGATCATTAATATTTTTGTGAACACTTGTATTTACAAACCATGCTTACTCATAAGAATGTAATACGGGTGGCTGAATAAGGGAAATGGATAGAAGCTAAGTAAATTCTACTCCGTATATCAGTATCAATATATGTTGTTATCCTTTGCAAATTCTTCGCCAGTACATGCCGACAGTTATTATAAACAAATAATGTGCTAAAAACACTTCAATATATAAAGATTTGTAGGAAGGAAACTCATGTTAGTTTAAGCAGCCCATAGTCAGGGTAGAAATGTCTGATGTAAACTAAATGAGTAGGTATGCTTATACAATGGAAAATTTAAATAGAAAAAAATTCACATACTGATAATACAAAAGGATCACATTTGCTGTAACAAACCTTATTAAGCCAACATAAAATACACTTGAGAAATTTAGACAACTAAAAAACTTTATACCATAAAATGGACCATATGGTGGTAAAAACATAAATCTACATCCCAGCAACATTGGTTGGCAAATCCAACATCCTTCTTAATTGCAATATAAATCAAACTAAATGAACTTTATTCTGTCAATATTGTCTGAGCCTAAAGAACAACAGTGCACTGCTGAGAACAAATACTATAATTTAGTAAACCAATGTCAGAATGTACCAAATTACATAATTCTAGTAACTTTATCACACCAAATTATATCAACCTCCTTATTTTACATACGGCCTCTTATTTTCTTGTAGATTAGTAGTCCAGATTAAATTCAAGCCATTAAAACTAGCGTCCACCAGATAAGATGGTTAGGTCTTTTTATTTTTATTCAATAACCATTAAATTTTCTAGGGAGTCTCTAAAAACATTAAAATCATAGGGATGCAAACAGTGACAGACCCAGAAACTTCTCGAAATCCGAGGAAGAACACAAATTAAGGTGCGTAAGATGCTAGTTTTTTCATAAAAATCACCGTATTAATCATCTAACATAAGACATCATGTAGTCGGCAAGCCCGGGCATGAGAGATCCTAGATTAGTCCCTGGATACAAAGAAAAAACATGATCATTCTACAATTTTCACAGCAAGGTATTATCTTTCATGAAATCCTATGACAAGAGAGGGTTAACTGGGAAAGAGGTAGACACTCACTAATACTGAAGCACATTCTCTGTCAAAGAAAACACTTCAGCCATCTGAAATTAATATCCTTGAGGATAACCACAGGAACCAACAAATTTAGAAAAATTGAGCCCCATAGCCATCTGTATGCAAAGAGAGAGAATGTGAAATAAGTAAAATCTTGTGGTTAGTTACAACTTCACTAATTAGTCCCTTCACTTTCATTCTGATACCTTGCGAACCATTTTACGGAAGTACATATAATATTTTGACAGGTCAGGAATAGATAGTGAAAAAGATAAGTCTCTTCACAGAAAAATTGAATTCATAGTAATTTTGATGATCATCAGGGTGAACTTCTATATGAGAATAAAAGAGCTACAGCTGCACTACATTCAACACATAATGGATTAACTATTTGCCTAATTCTCAAGACAATATCATGGCCACAGTTCCATATTGGTCCAAACTACCAATCCATACACGTAGAATTATTTTGCGGAAACTAATCCATGCACATGATTCTGTTTAGCATTCAACAAGGCGTGCAGGTAGGAACCCGATACAATTTTTCCACCTTAACAAAACAACCTGCAAGGTGATCAAAACTACCAATTTTCCATGTCTCTTGCTTTTTATGGGAACATATATAACAATTTGATTATACCCTTCCAATTATGGTTGTCAGTACTGTCGCCCTGAGGGCTGCAGAACCAGGGATGAGGAAGCTGAAGGCGGTCGAGAGCAGCGCCAAGGGAAATGTGTTGCCGCCTTTTATTTTCTCTTTAGGGCTTGTTGAGCTGTGCCCTCAGCAGAACCCTCTGTTATACTTTCTTTGTTGTCTGCTACTTTGGCGTGCATGTGCGGTGTGAACATTTGTTGGACCTTGTGCTTCTGGTGGTTGCTTTATTTATAAAGCGGGGCGAAAGCTTTTTTCGGTAATATTTGTATAACTAGTGGGCCATCTGCGAGTGTCATGTTCATTTGGGGGCTGAGTGTGTGAAAATCTATTAGCTATATATAAGCACGACCGTTGGCTGGAATTGGCAGCGACTAAATGAAATAGCTCATATTTTCTCTCCTCATACCTACTATTTCTGTGGTTTCTTCTTCTTCTTCCCAAGTATCCTCTTCTCGATCCCAAATCTGGGCAGGAAATCCTCAGCAAGGATATGACAAGTGGTATTCAGAGCTAGATAGGTCCGTCTTGTGCTTCGCATACTCAAGATTCTCTCCGTAACATCGACTGGTCGGTTGTCGATTGCTCACGCGGTTGGCTGTAAATCCGAGATCGGCGTTGGAGAAATCCAGAGGAAGCTGCAACGGTGCCGTTCAAGCCAAGTGCTCAGACACGACACCAGGTAGAGGTGATGGGGTCATTCGAGGAGAACGTAACGCAGGCATTTGCGGCTCTGCAGCTACTGCAGGAGCAAGTGGAAGGAATTTTGGAAATCAAGGCGCGACTGGATGGGTTGGACAACAAGTTTGAGGAATAAGTCGCTCGGCTGGATCAGGTGCAGTCCAAAGTAAACATATTTGTGAGCTCTATTGGAGAGATCCATCAGGAACAGGTTCATGTGGCGCGAGTGTTAAAGGAATCCACCAGTGTTCGGGACGCGGATCTGGAGCGGATGGCAGCGAAGGGTTGT